AATTAGTAATAATACCACTATTCTTCTCCTCCTCTCCTCTCTCTCTCTCTCTCTCTCTGTCTCTCTTTCTCTCTCTGTTATTAATAATTATCACATTTTGTTTTATATTTTTTAAACTTAGAACATATAAATCGTAGAACATGTAATCGTGCTTCGTACGAGGATACAAGCGATTATCTTAAAACTATAGAATACACGCGAAAGTTCAATGGCGCTGTTCAAATATGATCCAAATCTTTCGCTCTTCTGTATATATTAATGTAAACTGTAATCTTTTATATCGTTAAACGTATATGATAAACTCTATGCAATGTCCGTAAAGTACGTATATACTTATCTAAATTATACGACATACTATGAAAAGTAAATATATTTCATATTTTATACAATTGCGTGTGTTCGGTAATATTCATTTCTTGCGACCTGCATCTTCAAGAATTTCCTATAGGAGCATCTACATGTAGAATTTCAATAATCATTCTTGAAACCCATCGCGAACGATCGTGTTTTTTACTTCCGCGCGAGATATCACCTGAATATGCGTTTCCTGTTCTGATCAATTCTTTCAAATAAATGGGGTTATATCCGTTAACAGCATTCATCGTAAAATGCGTGCATCATGTTTATGGACTATGAGGAATTTGCTAGCCTTCAATTAGACAAGCCTATACCTGATATAAGAGTAAGTAATATTATGTGCACATCACATTCATTTCATTCAAAGTAGAACATTTCTAAAACGATTGATTTATAATTCCCTCTCTAGAATGAAGAGCAATTAAAGAAACATACTTTAGATCCTAGTTTGGAAAAAAAACCTATAGAGAGAGCACTTCATCTTTTGACGTAAGTGAATGAAGGTTATATGTACATTTGTTGATGATAAATCTGAGACAATAATGATTCACTTTCTCTGAAGGTGAAAATAATTTTAATCTTATTAATACTCACAGAATTGCTTTGGGCTTGATTTAATTATAATTTTGCGCATAGTGATTCGAGAAGTAATATTGTATAGGATCTTGAATTAAATCACGTAATCCTGTGTGATTATCGTATCGTAAGGCTAGATAATTAACTAATTCTATAAAATCTAAAAAGAATAGTGATTATAGAAGTAATAAACAAATTAATTTTATTATATTAACTGCACATGTCCATATTATTATTCAATTAAATTTTACAACAAACAAATAAAAAAAGAGATTGATATACTCGATGAGAGATTACAAGTTTACGAACTTGTAAAAAAAAAGTCTCCATTGCGGTATATTATCGTAGATTTTGTGTCACGAAGTTGCGTAATAGGCTATATAGAATACTGCGATTTAAGCAATATTCCTTTTCAGAAATATGTAAATGATGTGTGTTAAAACGATATGCATCATCATTCGAGAATCGTGACATGACTACATCGATTTGTCGATTACACAACATTGTCGACTACTGATCAACGCATCGCTTTATTGTATTACGCGCGACATAGCATTACGTGTTTTCATCGGTACGTAGGCTGTGTTCGGACTGTTCCGGCTAAACTCGGAAATACTCGATGCCTCGTACGACAAGTCACATATAATCGATACCTTGGAGTAGGACTAGTAGGAGCCCAGTTTAGTTGTCATCTACGTTCCGTTGTGTTGTTTTTCTTGCGTCAAGTGCGTCATGAGAGTGCGTACGCGTGTAACATCGTAACGTAAAAAAAATTAATCTCGTCTTTGCTCCTTTATTGTGTTTTCGTCGAATAAGATGCACTTTGAAAATGTTGCAAGAGGAAGCTCTGTACAAGAGCACATCTCCTCGGTAAGTAGTTGGATAGAGAATGATTTTTTAGTTAGTAAATCTAGTTCGTTATTATCGTCCGTCTTTTCATCCTTTCGGCTGTTTCTCTTTCGTATGAACTCATGCACGATTTCTAAAAATATCACAGCGTCGTTCAAGAAGTATACTATCCTGTCGTTTAAGCGTTGCTAATTATAGTCCTTTAAAAACACTCGTAAGAAATGACATTCTATTGTAACTCGTAAGCAATTTACTAAGACCTTGTTTGGGATAATAAAATTTCAAAGTGTAAGTTATTCAAAAATTTGATACTATTATTGATCTTTATATATATATATATATACATATATATAATAACATTATAGTAATAAATTTTATTGCAATAATGACAATTTATGAAAGATGAAAATTGTAAGAATACAACTAAGCATTCATATATGTATACTATAGCAGTGAAAACATTGTCACATGCTTCAAAAGGATATGTTATGTAAAGATTTTTGGCCTTGAAGGTTGCATATATTTAAAGAAAATGAAAAAACTGACTGATGGGATTATTTTTATAAAAATTTGATGATTATGGAAAAATTCATGCAAATAATTTTTTTAAATTAAAATTAAAAAAGTTAATAAGTTTTTCTCTGTATAATAATGAATAATGAATATTTATTGAAATATGATATATAATAGAAAATTTAGAATAATATAATAGAATAATAGAAATCATTGTTTTTATTAATTTATCTTTATTAATGCAACTATTGCTTTGTTTTGTTTGCTGTTATATGTATAATTATTTCAGGAAAGGCGATGAAATTCAAAAACTCAATTTTATACAAACATTACCAAACCTGTTAGCTACAGAAACAGAATCATGTATAATACGTGTAATACCAAAACTGCAGCAGTCATTAGCTACTGCATCCACGGAATTTCACATTGCAGCTTCAAATACAGTCAAAACAATTTTAGAACAGAAACTTGTCAATCATACTGTTTTTAGTCGAACATTCCTTCAAAGTATCTTAGATTCACTTGAAAAACGTGATCCAGGTAAAGAAATTGTCTTTGCTTATCCATTAGATTTGCTAGTTAAACAGTTTCATGCATTTGGTATTATTCTATATAACTAAATATGTATATATGTACATTTAAAGTTATCTGTCATGCATGGCTGGAGACCTTACTGGATGTGATAGAGTTACTGCCGATAGAAATCATAAGAAAGCAGGTTTGTATAGATGATCTTAGAAATTGATATTCAGAAAATATTGTCATTTAGAAGGGCAAATGTATAATATAATTTTTATAGCATGTATGCAATCTTATAATATGATTATAGTACTTCAGTAAAAAATAAAATTGATTTATTTTTATTTTATTTGGCATTAGATTAAGCATCAAGTATTAAAATTCATTTGTTACAAAAAAATGTTATATTTATCATCAATAATATAATTATCTTCAATGATATAATTATACTTCTTAAAATTTAAATATTATTAAAATTTAAGTGTAATATCATATGAATGATAATAGTAATACAATTATACAGATACTTCCATTGACTCTAAACAAAGGGCAATTATCACAGCCTATCTACTCAAGGATAATATGCAGCAAGATATTAGGAAAGATTTGTACAAGATTTGAATCTGGTCTGTGAGTATGTTTCATCTTATCAAATCTTATTAATTCTGTAATATTTTCATTAATGATCAATTAATATCAGCAACAATATTTCTAAATGAAAAATTAAACATATTGAAATTTAATAGTATACAAAATTATCCAAAGAAATTCATTTCAACAAAGTCATTAAATAAGTATATGTATTAAAATTGTTGTCAGGATACAGAAGGAAGTTCTACCAATGGTACATTCCCTCTGTCAGGATGTAAATAGTGAAGTACGAGCTAATATCTGCTTGCAGCTACGTTTCGTTGCTGAAGGCCTTAGCGCTGACACTCTAAAAACCTCTTTGCTACCATCTCTCGTAGAATTAGCAAGTGATGAAGAAAGCAATGTAAGATGCGCCGCTGTAGAAACAATAGCGTATTTGCTACCTTATTTTCAAGAAGGTATGCTTAATGACTAGTTGTGTATCATAAGTATTTCAAGTTTTCTATAATTTATAAAAAAATATTTCAAATTTTTAAATTAAAATTCAAGTATTTTAAAATAGAAATATGATAATAATTATTTACAGAAACGATAAAAACTATCATAGTGCCACTTGTTAAAAAATTATGTGAAACTTCACAGTCTATATATCACGACAATAACGTGATATGTATAATTGCCCAAGAATATGGAAAAATTGTACTTGGCCTAGAAAGTAAGATTTCTTAATAATTGAAATTTTGTTTTTGCAACTACAATATGTTCAACTACTCTATTGATATTTTAGAATGCTTATTACCCGCGGAAAAAACATGGTTTTTAAAATATTATCAACAACTTGCACAAATGGGTATTCTTATAATGAGGAAAGAATCCAAGCATCATATTCCATTTGTAAGTCCTGTACAAAAACATAAAATTGAATGTATTTTATATTATAATATACATTTTACATTCAAAATACGAATCTAGATGGATATTGATCTTGAAGAAGACGAGAAATACGTGGAATGCAGAAGATGTTGCGCATTTAATCTTCCAGCAATGTTCATTTTTGTATCAAGTTCTCCAGATGATACAGATTCATTGCTTCTTACATTCACTGCATTGGCAAGCGATCATTATTATTTGGTTCGGAGAACTGTAGCGTGTGGAGTTCATGAAGTAAGAATTTATGACTTACAATTTAAAATTATGACACAAAATTTTTAATTGAAAATCATTATACAGGTAGCCAAAGTATTGGGTCCAAAAAGTGGACGGATAAAAACAGATCTAATAAAATTATTAAAAGATAATTCTGAAGAAGTTTTACAAGGTATAGTTCCTCATATAGCAATAATTCTTGAATGTTTGGTTGAAAGTCACGTTATCGGCATAGATAAAATGGTTTGTATGCTTTTTTTTATAGCAATTATATGAAATATATTTATTTTATTTATATAATTCCGTTTGTCAAATATAGGATTCCATTGTTATGGAAATAGGTAGAGCCTTATTGAAATGTGAATCGGAAATGGCAGGTACACATAATTGGAGATTAGTATCTTTAATACATTCACAGTTTGAAGTATTGCCTAAATATTTTCCAAGTGATTTTATATATTCATATTTTGTGCCAATGGCTTTTTTCAGAATATTACATGCTGTAAGTTTTGAATATAAATTCGTTTATATTATAATTTCGTTTTTTGCGATTATATATAATAAAATTTTTTTATTACTTTCAGAGGCCAATACCTATTCGTCTCTCATCGGGAAATCTATATCTTATATTTTTACGTTATAACACAAAACCTGCGCAAAGAGTAGAACTTCGTACTAAATTATGTACAGAATTGGCCAATAATACGAATTCTTACTCGAGAATGATGTTTGTTCGTATAATGGTAAAAGCTTTAGAAATTTTCTCCACTGCTTACTTCAAGGAGCATTTTTATACTACTTTATTAAGTTTGGCTGAAGATAATATAGCTAACATAAGAATGAAAGTAGTTAATTTGATGCCTCAATTAAAAAGTATCCTCCAAATACCAGCTGATAAAAAATTGTTAACTATATTAGAAACGACGGTGACGCATTTAATAAATAGCGAAAAAGATAGAGATGTATTAAATTCGTTAACAATTGTTATAAAAAAATTGGACGAGATAATACTTAAATATGAAAGCCGAACTGTAAGTAATATTATTTATAATTCAATGTATTAATACAAAACATTTTTATATAAAAAATTTTGTTTTTTTACAGCCAAGTGGAGTACTTTCAAAACAAGAAATTGAAGATAATAGAAAATTTGAAGAAGAAAAGAAAATATCAGGAATAGCAATTGGAAAAGCTCCAGCTCCGAAAAAAGGTACATGAGAAGAAATTCCAATATATTATAATTAAAATTATTATTAAAATTATTTTCATTTATTTTATTTTATTTTATTTTTGATTAAAATGTTTAAAATATTTTAATTATAGGCGTATGGCGACAAGCTGATTCCTCGAAAGCGTAAGTATATATTATAATTTGAATATCTATTCGTGTAATCAATTTGGAATATATAATTATTTTTTAATTATATTTTAAATTAATTTAATGCTTTTTATTCTATTCCTTTTTCAGGCCGCAAACAACCTCCAAAGGTAAGTATTTGTTTTTCGTTGTTATTCAAATATAGATTATTTCACACAATAGTAATTAAAATTAACAATATTTATTATAGATAGCATAACCTCTCCTCGTCCATCCACTGAATCATTAAAAACAAGGTACATAAGTTATATATTTATTTATCCATTATATATACTTTTATAATAAAAATAACTTTAATTATAAGTGTTGTACTAACATTCGAATAGAACTAATTATTCGAATAGAAAAGATAGACTCTTTAGAACTGATGAAAAATAAAGTTGTGAATCTGTCTCTATCTTTTTTAGTTTAGTTAACAATTTCAGCAAAAACCTAATATCAAATTCTGCATGCTTTGCATCTAACAGAATTCAACTAACACATCCTTGGGAAAGAATAGGGTATACCAACTCAAATATTAATACAGCCCATACTAACTTTGACAATGGATCGTGCAGTGATTATCTAATGCAAAAGACTCAGCAAAACCGATCGAAATTATCATTGCCCTTCATATTGTGGCCGGAAACATGTGAATGCAATTATGGGGAAGAATATACTTTTCATTCTTGTCCCTCATCCGATTATGCAAAATCTGTTTTTTTGGCGATCATGAGAGAAAATCGGCGAAGATCGCAGCAAAATTTTCTATTAACTCGAGATTATGCTCGCGAATTTTCCACTAACATTGCCAGCAAGGACACTGCCACTGTAAGAACGCTTGCAGCTCACTATAACTCTTGTTGGCCTTGTAGCTCTATGCCCGAGATACCGGTAATGCTGTCGGATGACGAATTCCTTGTGGATGCTGGTATCAGGATTCCGGTGCAATTCTCTCAGAGTACTTCCAAGATACCACATTTACAAGATTCCATATTTGGTAAGAGAAGAACCTCGTTCAATCATTTTCGGCCTACTGGCATGAATTTCGATAAAGGAAAGCCTAAGAGGAATTCTTCCGTTGAATATGAAGACTGTATAAAAAGAAGAACGACTATTGATCAATCTAACCATGCCAGAACTTCTATCGATTGCGAGGATGGATTAAGATTGGTGAAGGAAAATCAACAGCTTGGTAAGAAAGATCCGGTATATGTTGGTCCATTGATAAGATCGAGATTTGGATTCGGTATAAATCAAGATAGGACGATGGACGACAAAATGAAAAGACGAAATTCGTTAATATTAGATAAAGAAAAACCGAAGGTTGTACAATCAAAGTGCACGTTAGACAGGACTAAAAGGAATTCTGTAAATTTCGAGAAAGGAAAGCCTAAGAGAAATTTTTCGGCCGAGTATGAGGACGGTATAAAACGAAGAACCAATGGTACTAATCACGTGAAAGGTATACGATTACGATCGATCGATTATGAAGATGGTTTGAGTTTAGTGAAGGAGAATCAACAACAAGATAAAAAGGATCACTTATATCTTGGGCCTGTGATGAGATCGAGGTTTGGATATAGCGTGAATCAAGAAAGGGCAATGGACGATAAAATGAAACGACGAAACTCATTGATATTGGATAAAGATAAGCCTAAAATCGTCCAATCAAAGTGTATGCTGGACAGAACTAAACGACATTCTGCAAATTTTAGTTTAAAAATGTTAGATACGAAAGAGACTAAAACTACTTTGAAGGATCAGCATAGCTTAGAAGTGACCGACTATACACCGTCGGAACGACTAAGCAGAGCTTTAAGACGATATTCGACATTAGATGTGAATCATAATCAGGGACATAGCAAAATACCCTTAAGAAGTTTTGTACGTCGTAGTAGAACTGCACCTGCCACTAGGGCTTCCAGCCCTGTGGGTTCACAATTTAGGTATGAAGAAATCGATAAGCTGTGCCGAAAATTCGAGGAGTATCAACTCTATTAGTGTAATTACATCAAACGCATTTACGTATCAATATAAAAGGAGAAAAAAAGAAGATATAGCTGTATGTGCTGGTTCGCATCTAATTACAAATACGTTGTATCAGGGGGATAGTAAGATTTTGTGGGATACATTTTATATATGTATATATATTCTGTGTATTTTAACCTTTTATAGAATCTTAGGTTTTTCGAATTCAGCATTTTCTTTGAAATAATGAGGCATTTGAAAACTATTATGAGGTTGTTCCGATTTACGATTTCGTACAACCTTGTATATTTCTCACTTATTTATTAGCTAGCTTAATGATATATTTTTCTATTCGTATATAATTGGCAGAAGTTAAAGAGAAGGTAAATCTATAATATTTTATTTATTATCAGTAATCTATTTTAGACATTTTTTTTATTTTATCATATTCCCACATTATATTGAAAAAAAATTTATATTTCGATAAATCAACTAGGAAAGTTTATCAAATATTTTAGTATTTTTAATAAAAAGATACGCATGCTTATGTTGGAAGACTGTTTATTAGACGATGCTGTATCGAAGTTCGTAAAAGTAAAAGAATAAGACTATTTTGCACTTTAATTTTATAGCTGCATATCTAATACGTATTACTCTATAAAAGTTTATTCACTGATTGAATAATATATTCTAATAAATTATTGTATTTAGGGAATTACACACGATAGATGACGAGATAACAAAAGATAGAATTTAATTATTAATAGCCAATTTTAGGTCTAGTCTCGAATAGTTATAAAAAGCAGGGCTAGTTTTAACATCTGTAAAACGATGTTTTTTAAATGTTCGATACGATTTTTTGTATCTTACTTATTTTTTTTTTTTTTAACGAATTCAGTTGAAACATGCCAGTAAAGGCTGATAATTTTTAATAGGATTTTTCGTCATTGTTTTTTATAACTTGTTTTTTAATTTAGCTTGAATAAAAAAAAAACAATCTAATGTCATATAGACGCATATAATAACGAACGATTATAATGATTATATATTAATTTTATTATTATATCGTATTGCATGGGAGGTGTTATTTAGTAGCTATTGTAATTTTCGATCGGTTTACGAACATCGCCGTTAATAATTAATTTTTATTCAAAGAACCAGTGAACTACGATAAACGAAGTAACTTTTTGAGCGCAACTTTAGGGATTCTCGATTCCCCGATTTCCCTTTAAACACGTTGAACGATTAAAATTCTTCCCTTGCGTAGTGGACTGGAATTACTATTGTGTCTTAAAAACGAGAAATATCTACGAAAATATCATACAGTCTTAAAGAATATCACATACATGTACACACACACACACAAAAATATATATGTACATAGACTGACCAAAACGATTTAACAAATGTCTAATTATTATAAAGTAGTAGTCAAAGGAGAGAGAAAGTTAATGAAATTTATCGTGAAACTAAAATAATAAAAGAGATACCAATATGTATCAAAAGGACAAGTATAATATCTTCGCAGAATATTTTCATTGAGCTTCTAATAAATGTATTTTGGGGTGAAAGATCAAAAGAACAAAAAAAAAAAAAAGAAAAAGAAAAGAAAAGATATAAGACGCTTCAAAGCCAAAGATAATGATACGATTAAATATCAAATGTACAAACCCTTAAAAGGCATTATGTACTTGTATCATGTACATATACTGTATAAGCCTTACAGTGCAAGTGCCATTGAATTGATTGGAGACTTCAACGCTTGGAAAGAGGGGTGACCGTACTGTCGAATGGAGAATACAAGGTAAAACTTTGAAAAAAGTAACACCCAAAATACATAATGTCCAGCAACTGTCACGACGACGATTATTCGTGATTCGATATTTAATATCACGATCTTGATACGTTGCTCCGATAAAGAAAGATTATTCGTAGCTATAGTTGGCTTGTAAAAAATATTGTTCAAGAAACGAAGCATCGACTATTTTTCTTACACATTTATTATTGTAACTAGCTCTTTGTCCATTCGAGTTTAATTTCGATCCCTTTCATCTTCTTTCGTTCGTTTCTCCCAATTTCATAATTTTCGAGGGTTGTAAATCCAATTTTATATAGAACGTTTTTTTTTTTTTTTTTTTTAATTAATCGCTAGTCAATCCGATTTCGCAAAGGTTTTTGCCTATATAGCAATTAATCGTTATTGGTCTACAGGAATATTATACTTTTTCTCGTACAAGCTACTGAACACCGAAGATAGATCACACTCTCTTTACGCTTAGAGACTAGAAAGAGATGCAATTTACCGAATCGATTGTTGCCGCGTAAACGATATTAATTATTTTGTTATAATTGTAAGATCTTACGGCTACCGACTTATATGGTAACATAGCGAAGCTTGTTGTATTATTTTTATAGGAGACTTTAGGGTAGCGTCAGCCGTACGATTTCGTGAATCTAATCACACGTGGTGCAAAGAAATTATTCGAATCGATCGAGTAGAGAAATTTTACGACGGATTGATGTATATTTAAATAAAACAAAACTTGCGTATTTCGCCGAATCGTACGGTTGTTGGTTTACCATGCGACGAAACTTCTTTTTTATAGGAAATCTTAGAATATATTATATATATATATATACACAGACACACACTAATAAGTATATATTTAATGAATTTTGAACAAATTGTTAAATGTGCAACTATAGGGACAGCCGTAGCGCGTTTCGAAGAAAACCAAGCGAAAGTAGAGAGCGAAGAACGTTTACTTGAGCACGTTAGGAGGATAATTAAGGAAAAAAAAAAAAACAGGGAAAAAGTAAAATTTCTCGAATCTCGAATATTTTCGCCCAAGAAATAATCGCTTAAAATGCTGCTCCTTATTTTTGTACAGATCTTAACGTTCGTAATATTAACTTTTGTGCCAGAAAGTAAAAATATGCAGTATATTATATATAACAAGTAAAGAAAAAGAACACACACACACACAGACATTCGTGCTACTCTCGTTTTACGTAATTGTTAACGTATTTGTTTCTTTATATACGTAGAAAAGAAAGAAAAAAAAAAAGAAAGAGATGAGCACTTTTATCGCTGACACTGTTATATATATATATTATACGTATCGTTACGTATGTCGTGTACGTAAATCGAGTAAAATCTGGGAGGTAGAATTTTCTTTATCCTGGACATCGTCGTTCGTCGATCATTTGGAAAAAGAAAAAGTAATAATATATGGTGACCATTGAATAAGAAGAAAGAAAACGTCACGTCACGCGTCAATTGAATTTTATCGCATTAGAAACTGTTAGAAAAAAAGAAAGTTTCCAAACGTTATGGCCTGCGTGTTTCTTTCGGGAAAGAGTAATCTGTGATGATAAAAAAAAAAATAAAATAAAATAAAAGTAATGATACATATTTAAACGCGAGAATAAAATGGAAACAAATAAATAACGCGAAGAGAATTACGTTCGTGTAATTATGAACGTATCGAATTCGTTGAACGATATTTTTATTACTCATAATTGCTCCCGTAAAGAATAAGGAATGTTACAAACAGAGAGAAGTGTATTTTTGTGAGGTATATCTGTAAGAAACAAAAATCTAGTTAAATGTGAACAACTAAAGAACAACGCGATCGTAGATTTTATTGGCTCTATCGATATATTATACATCTGTTTTAATATACGTTACAAACAATAAATCGAATCTTTTTTGTTACACAATCCGACAATCTTTATCTTCTCGATTATCCTTTTCTCTCTCTCTCTCTC